TTTCCTGTGCCATCACAATTGGTAGACTCACACACCCTACATTAATGCTGAAAAAAGGTGGAATTTTATTATATACTAGAGGCCAGGTGCACAAAATTCGTGTACAGGAGGGGGGGTGTACCCTCAGCCCGGCTTGCACCCTCTTGCAATCCCGGACCGCTGGCTCCTAACCATTCTCCTGCCTGCCTGATCACCCCTAACCACTCTGCCTGCCTGGATCGCCCCTAACCACTTTGCCTGCCTGCCTGATCACCCCTAACCACTCTGCCTGCCTGCCTGATCGCCCCTAACCACTTTGCCTGCCTGCCTGATCACCCCTAACCACTCTGCTTGCCCGCCTGATCGCCCCTAACCACTCTGCTTGCCTGCCTGCCTGATCGCCTCTAACTGCCTCTGCCTCAGCCTCAGCCCCCGCTGCCGCGGCTTCGTCTAGAACAGTGATGGCGAACCTCTGACACGCGAACTCATTTTTTTGGTTGATTTTTCTTTGTTAAATGGCATTTAAATATATAAAATAAATACATCTTTGTTTTACTATGGTTGCAAATATCAAAAAATTTCTATATGTGACACGGCACCAGAGTTAAGTTAGGGTTTTTCAAAATGCTGACACGCCGAGCTCAAAAGGTTCGCCATCACTGGTCTAGAAGGACGTCCGGAATGACGCCCGGAAGGTCGTTCAGAAGGTCTTTTGGCTGTCTGGTCTAATTAGCATATTATGCTTTTACTAGTGGCCCAGTGCACGAAATTCGTGCACGGGGCGGGGGGGTGTGTGTCCTTCAGTTCGGCCTGCACCCTCTCCAATCTGGGACCCCTGGAAGAATGTCCTACTGCCGATTTACAGGGATTGGGTCTAAACTGGCAGTCAGACATCCCTCTCACAATCTGGGACTGCTGGCTCCTAACCGCTCACCTGCCTGCCTGCCTGATTGCCCCTACCACTCTGCCTGCCTGCCTGATCGCCCCTAACTACTCCTCTGCCTGCCTGATCACCTCTAACTGCCCTCCCCTGCCAGCCTGGTCACCCCTAACCGCCTCTGCCTCAGCCCCCGACAGCATGGCTTTGTCTGGAAGGACGTCCGGATAGATATCTGCTCTAATTAGCATATTACCCTTGTGTCTCTTGACTGAAATCTCTCCTTCAAGAGAGATTTATGCACAAAATAATCCTCTCCGCTGTTCCTGGGTATATAAATGTATAAAAATGTGGGAATGGAGCTGGAGATCAAATGAGACTTCATATTCAGTTCTAATGTTTTGTTTGTGTGTGTGTTTTTTAATCCTCACCTGAGGATATTTTTCCATTGATTTTTAAGGAGATTGGATGAGAGAGGGAAAGACAGAAATATCCATGTGAGAGAAACACATCGATTGATTGCCTCCTGCACGACTGGTTGCCTCCTGCCTGAGCCCCGATCAGGGCGTGGGCCCAGGAGAAGCCTGCAATCCTGCAATCAAGGTACATGCCCTTGACCGGAATTGAACCCGGGACCCTTTGGTCCGGAGGTCGACGCTCTAACCAGCTAGGGCTGTCTAGCTTTTAATCACTGACTCAATTTTAGTCCAATGAATATGAATTGAGAGCCTACTAAGTGCTAGGTTGCAGACAGCACAGAGTGGCATGAATATAAAGAAGAATAAAACTCAGGGGAAAACAGCTCCCTGAGAGAAGTTTAATGTTTAATTTCCAATCTAAGTAGTCCAAAGCAGTGGGTTTTATTTTTTTAAATATATTTTATTGGTTTTTTACAGAGAGGAAGGGAGAGGGATAGAGAGGTTTGCAGGCTGGCCACGCCCCCATGGGGTGAGGGTCCCTGCTGGGGGGGCGTGGCCAGCCTGGGGGAGGGGCTGAGGGCTGTTTTCAAGCTGGCCACACCCCCTTGAGGATGGGGGTTCCCACTGGGGTGCCTGGCCAGCCTGGGTAAGGGGCTGAGGGCCGTTTTCAGGCTGGCCAGAGCCCCTTCAGGGTGGGGGGGGGTCCCGCTGGGGTGCCTGGCCAGCCTGGGTGAGGGGCTGAGGGCCATTTTCAGGCTGGCCATGACCCCCGGAGACCCAGGCCCCCAGCCCCTCCTTGAGCGGAGGCCAGGGCCCGATGGAAGCCTGGTTTGCCCCCGACCCAGGCTCCCAGCCACTCCTTCAGCAGCGGCCAGGGCAGGTGGGAAGCTTGGCTTCCTCTGTTGTCAGGGGCAACCCAAGCCTCCAGCTCCATGGCCGCCGCCATCTTTGTTGGGTTAATTTGCATACTTGCCCTGATTGGCTGGTGGGTGTAGCAGAGGGACGGTCAATTTGCATGTTTTTCTTTTATTAGTGTAGATTATTATAGATGAAGTGGTGGTCTGTATCTTGTCATAACAAAGGATAGTGATTTCTTACTGAGGGTAAAATACTGTGTTTATAAACAATAGCATTCCCAAAGGCTAGGTAGTTGTTATTTGTCTGTATAAGTCTAAACTTTATTCTTTGATATTTCTCCCAAGTTTTTATTTTGAAAAATTCCAGATGACAGAAACATTGTAAGAATAGTACAAAATACACCTGTACATCCTTCACTTGGATCACCTGTTATCAATATATTGCCACTTTTGCTTTTTCTTGCTTTCCCAAAGCACAGGCACACAATGAATGTTATGTACATAAACATTTGGTTTTTGCTAAATCATTTAAGATTAAGCTATAGAATTATGATGATTCAGCCATAAATACTTTAGCCAGTATCTCCTAAGAGTAAGGATATAACTCATTTGTCACACCCTATTTAACATTGATAACAATACTGATACCTAATATAGAGTCTCTCTTTAATTTTCCCCAGGTATCCTAATAATGTGTCCTTTGTAGTTATGTTTTTTAAAATAACAGGTTTATTATGATATAATTCACATACCATACAATTCACCTTTTAAAGTGTACAATTCAGCCCTGAGCAGTGGTTAGAGTGTGGGCCCATGCACCAAAGGGTTGTGGGTTTGATTCCTGGCTCCAGTAGGGGTGTATGTGGGAGGCAACCAATCGATGTTTCTCACATCAATGTTTCTCTCTCTCCCGCTTCCTACCTGCCACTCTCTAAAAGGCAATGGAAAAAATATCCTCTGGTGAGGATTGACAACAACAACAAAAAGTGTACAATTCAGTGGGTTTTCCTAAATTCAGAGTCGTGCTACCATTGCCACAAATCAGTTTTAAAACATTTTTATTACCCTAAGAGGAAACTCTATGTGCCATTAGCAGTCACTTCCCTTCCCTACCCTAACTTCTAGCCCTGGGCAACCACTAATCTATTTTCTGTCTCTCTAGATTTTTTTCTTTCTGGGCATTTCATATAAATACAGTAAAACCTCAACGTAACGGACTAATTCAGACGAGGGGTATCTGTTAAAACTGAAAGTTCATTATATAATAGAGTAGGTTTTCCGAACGCATGTTAACAAAACTGACAAATTAGTTTACCTGTTTTTACTGATGTAGATAATTTGTGAATTTAAAATTATGTATGAAAATTTTAATTTCATGTAGAAGTTTCCTATATGTATTACAGCAATTAAAAATTTATATTGAATAGATCACTGCGAGTAAATAAATGCTAGAACATTGGCTAGCATGCATTAAAACTGCTGCAGAAAGTCATGCCATGCAACAACAGAACCAATTACCACTTGCAATGTGGTGCGATCATGTGCTAATCATTTGCTGAACATTGTTTACTAGTGGTGACTCTTGGATATAAATATGTAGACTATAGTTGTAGATGTGTAATATTTAATTATGTGAAATTACTACAGTTTTTCCCAACATTTGGCCTATCTGCCTAAATTTGTTGAAAATAACAGTGAATTAATAACAAATGAAAATGACCTGTTAATTTAATTATAAGCAAATATAGGTTAAAAATATTTTCAAATTAACAGGGCATTAATTTTTGCATATGACATGTGGATCGGAAATTTTGTTTGTTAAATCGAAAGTCTGTTAAATTGAAGTCTGCAAAATCGAGGGTTTACTGTATAATCATACAATATGTGATCTTTTGTAATTGATTTCTCTCACTGTAATGATTTCGAGGTTCATCTATATTGTATTATGTATCAGTACTTCATTCCTTTTATGGCTGAATAATAATATATGGATATACCACATTTTGTTTATCTCTTCATCAGTTGATGGATATTTAGATTATTGCCACTTTTGGCTATTATGAATAATGAATGTTTTTATGAATGTTGGTATACAAGTATTTTTTTATTTTTAGATTTATTGGGTCAACACTGGTTAACACAGTTATACAGGTTTCAGGTGCACAGTTCTACATCAGGTATTTGATGGACATAGGGCATATAATGAGTGGAAATGCTGAGTCCTATGGTAACTCCATATTTAACCTTTTTTAAAAATTGATTTTTAGAGAGAGGGAGGAAGAAAGAGGGAGAAACTGATGAGAGAGAGAAACATTGATCGACTGCCAGTGTTTTGCAGAATATCCTTTAACTTGGATTTGTCTAATGGTCTCCTTATAATTGGATCCAGGTTAAACATTTTTGTCAGGAATTCTTTATATATAGTGTGTTTTCCTTATTATATCAGTGGTATAATAAGGTACTCAATACCAGTTTGTCCCATTATTGATGATTTGAATTAGATAATTAAAATGTGAGATTTCTCCCTTGTAAAATTACCCTTTCCCCTTTGTAATTAACAAGTAATCTGTGGGGTGATATTTGAGACTGGGAATATCCTATTTTCAATAGTTTTGCATCCAGTGTTAGTGTTTATTGATGATTCTTTGAATAATTTATTTTAATTTTTTTTGGAATATGTTCTTTGTTATTGATTTTAGAGAGACAGGAAGAGAGGGAGAGGGAGAGAGAAACATCCATTGGCTATCTCCTGCATGCCCCTGACCAGGATTCGAACCTGCACCCAGGCATGTGGCCTGACCGGAAATCAAACTGGCGACCCCTTGGTACATGGGACGATGTTCAACCAACTGAGCCACAGCGGCTGGGCTCAATCTTTTTTATTTTATTGTTGACAGTATTACAGATGTCTCCCATTCCCCCACTTTACCTCCCCCCTCTGCCCAGTCCCTCCCTACCCCCCAGGTCTTCATCAACCTATTGTTGTCTTTGGGTTATGCATAGAAGTATACAAGTTCTTTGGTTTATCTCTCCTTGTCCCCTGACCTGAGTCATTTATTTTTAAGATGGTTTTAAAAAGTGACTTTCTCTTCTGTCATTTCTTCTGCAATGTTGATATTTTTCTGTGAAGATGAGTACCCCCCTTTTTAAAAGTTTTAGTGTAATTTTCTCATTCAATGTAATAACCATCTCTGTAGTTATCATTCTGATGTTCAAATTCAGCTCAAATTTGGTTTCTGTGTCCTGTTGACATGCCCCTGTCAGTCTCTGAGCATTTCTTCACTTCCTGACACACAAGATGCTTTCCATGCTGACCTTACATTTTCTCCAGCCCCGTTGCCTCTGTTTACGTTCAGGTGTGTTCTGTTCACAGATCAGATGCATTTTCCTTCGCTGCCTGTTTTGTTTTTGCCCAAGTGGCACTGTACATTCTTACTACTCACCGTCTGGAGATTGTTCTCTGCTTTATTTTTCTCCGTTGTGTTCCATTATATGAATATACCATAGTTTATTTAACTAGCCTCCTTTTGATGGTTATTTAGTCGTATCTTTTTTGCTTTTATGAGCACTCCTTTAATGTATAATCTTTTTGTCATTTTTTATATTACTGACTATATTTGTAGGGTCATTTCTAGAAGTGAGACTTCTAGAGAATGTGCACCCCCCATTGTGATAGCTATTCCTCACTAAAGCGATGGTGCTGATGTATGTTCCTGTCTAGCCATGAGGGGAGTGCCTGCTCTCCCTCTTCTTTGCCAATCTGGTAAGTGATAAAATTCCTTTGGTTTAAAGTGCCTTCCTATTGAAATTAGTGATGTTGAATATCTTTCTTTTATTTAAAATTTATTCTTACTTTAAAAAATCTTTTTATTTTTAAAGGTAAGTTTTATTTCTTTTTTTGTCAACTGTCTACTCATGTACTTTTCCCACTTGTGTCCAGGTCCTTTTGATAGTGCCATTAATGTCCTTGGTCCATCTGCTGCCTTCCTGAGGAACAGTCTCTGCTGACTTCTCTGAGCCAAACTTCTGTTTGCAGGTTCCAGAAACTCATTAGAACCAGCCTGTGCAGAAAGGGGGATGTCCCAGAACCCAAGCGCAGTTGGGCCTCACAAGGATTACCTTTGGGACAAGGTGATTGTGACTTAATAGTTTAAGCCCTTATCTATAATACACCAGAAACTACTCCGTGCAACTATTTCAACTTACAATGAAAGGTTTTAGTTGTTAAACTTGCATATGCAAAAGGCTACACAAAGATTTTCAGAATTCTTTAGGGTGCACAAAAGCAAGAAAGGTTGCAAATGGCTACTTTGCCGTTCTTTCTTATTTATCATTTGTTTTCTCTGTCAGCAGATGCCCTTTCAGGTTCCAACTTTCCTTCTCCTTCCAGGCCCCTCATCCAGTGTGACTTTGGTGTGAAGCTATCAATGTCAGGGTGAGGGTGGGAGTGACTGTTGTAATACTGGCTGGCTGGCTTTGATTTATATACTTTTTCTCCTCTTTGTGAGTGTGGCTGTGGGCAGGCTGCCTGGCTTTCTGGCTCATTGATCTTCCATAGCTAGAGGATACTCCAGGGGCAATGGTGATTGATTGCTTAGAAATTCAGATACTATCTGGTCCCAGTGATTTAGTACATTTATTTGACATTTGACTGCACATATCCTGGGTTGCATCACTTTAATCTATCACCAAAGACTGCCCATGGCGGGTTGGTTGAGAAGTGGGGCACTGTCCTTAGTGCTCCTCTCGCAGGTTCGTTGGCTGTCATCCTTGACTCATGGTCATCAAGGAGCCCCCTAATGCTCTGCTGCTTTCAGATATTCAGTTAGTGCAAAAACACATACTACCAGGTGCCGGGGACCCAAAGATGAGTCAGATACCTTTGCCCTATAAGCAAGCACTCTATTTCAAAATTAAATATTATTTTTAAATATTAAAGTTAAAAAAATATCTTTAGGTCCTTTTTAGGGTGTCTCTCATCTCTTAGGGTTAGTAAATCATTTGGTTAAGAAACTTTCTTGTTATAGAGCAATTTCACTGTTATCCCTTGCCCTTCCCTTTGGGGAGCTCCTTGGGATGGATGGGGTTTGGTTACCTTAGGACAGGCTGCCCCTGGGTAGATGTGGGTGGGGGAGTGTGGCTGTGGATTCTCTTCTGGGAACCGTGCACCTTGGCTGTAGGGGGCGTACCCTCATGGTTGTGAGGGCAGCATCAGCTGACCTTGCTCTCATGACTTGAACAGAGCAACTGGGGTGACTCAGCCACCTTGCAAGATAGTGTTGGAGCAGATGGGTCATCCGCAGTCTCCTCTGCCGTCAGCAGCCGTCCCTTGCACGAGCTTCATTAGGACTCCTGACTGGGGTAGCTCCAGGTGCACAGGTGCTGTGCTGCTGGAGGATCTTGGATAGACCGAGACCAGATGCTGCTTATTGCTCAGGGTCCAGAGTGTGAGCTGATTCCAGGAAAGCTGCTGCAGGTACTAAGGGAAAAGGCCAGGCAGAGTGGGAATAGCATTCTTTAGATAATACTTCTTTCCTCGAGTGCTAATTCAGCCCTCCTGGGATGTCATGTGTTTTCTTGCCCTGACCTTGCCTTTGACACGCAGCTTTGTCATGGTCACGTGGCTGTACCTCAGGGCCAAAGTACAGGTCCTTCACATTGCCCAACATGTACTAGGTAGATTAGACTCTTTGCCAACTCCAAATATCACATTCTGATGGAAGTTGGCTGAAGCTGCCCCAAGCTGTGAGAAATGTTAGGGCAGCCTCCCAGTCAGCAGGAAAAAAGTTTTAGAAAGAAGCAGAAACTCATTGCAAAAGGGCCTTGGTACGGCTACGAAATGCAACTGACAAAAGCAGGAACCTTGGTTTTCAAAGGCAGAAAAGGAGTGAGGCAGATACCTGGGGCCTGGGTGAAGTGCCAGAGTCAGCTCAGAAAATAGGGGTCTTTCCTGAGGGCACCTAGTCAGGCAGGATTGCTGAGCCAGGGCTCTTGACACATTTCAGCACTGTGAAGGGGAGGGAGAGAAGGGGGAAGAAGGCAGGTAGGCAAGAGTAGAGTGGAGGCGCTGGGGCAGGGGTCTGCTGGCCCTGGGCTCACTTTGAGGGTCTGGTTGTACCAGGCTTATGCCGAAGTTGTTGGAGAGAATGGAGCCAGAGCCCAGGACTATGGGAAAGTCCAAGGAAGGAGTCAGCTTGGTTGCCCGGCTCGGCCTCTGTCTTTAGAGAGGCTTGCGACAGGTTACAGAAATTCCTGGCCACTGGAGAGGGTGGGGGAAAGATGGAAAATATTCTAGAATTGGTGAATACCTGTCAGGCTCCATGCCCATCTTCCCCTCCCCCACCACACCCCTGCTTAGGCCACAAAACCCTCATGTTAGATAGCAGGTTAATTTGAAAATTGAGTTGCAGCTGGATGAGTTGATGTTAACTTAAAGTTCAGTGGTGTTTAATTAAAGCCATCCAGAGACTAAAACTGCTCTCGGGAAATTATTCTGACCGAATAATTAAAGAGAATGAAGGTTAGAAATGTGTTTCTGGCTATATCCGTGTTGCATTCTGCATCTTCAAAACATGAATTTCATTAACCTTTCATGAACCAACATTAAATTGTTTTCAATTGGTTGTCATTCTAATTAGAGTCACACAGAAGGGCCTTTGTTTATACTTGGTGTCTGTTCCCTTTTCGCCTGGATTCATGTCCTCTTGAAGCAACAGTCATTTGGAAAATCGGTTTATATATGTATGTGTCTGCCCATATATATGTATGTGTCTCCCTTAGTCGGACCCTGTTCATTGAGTATCAGGAAGTGCCGTGCCAGAGGTAGTAGGCCACAACTGCAGCAGGAAGGCTGGGGTAAGCAGTCACTGCTGATGGTTAGGGCAGGGTGTGTAACTTGCAAAAACATGTCCTGTGGCCATGGGAGCTCAGGAGTGGTCACCACCCAGCCCAGGCCAGCTCGGGCAGGTCTTAGGGAGCCGAGGACCTGGTGGGTCAGGAGGTGAGTGTGCTGCCCTTTGCGATATCATAATCTAGCTGCCTGAGCCTTATGCTGCCCCTGAGCCTTATGCCTTGGGATTGGGTGGCCTTACTTCTGCCGGGTGAGGGGTCAGAGTCCTCATATGGGCCTGTCTGCAGCCTCAGTCTCCTGAGAGTCAGCATTCCCAGGTTTCTGTCTAGTGGCCATAGCAGGAGGTGTGGGGAGAACGGTGGGATAAAGTTCAGTGTCCCTGCTGTAGGATTTACTATACCTTGTCATCCAGCATATTTTTTCTATTTATTTTCCTGAGTGATTATGGGTGGGGTGTGTTGCAACCGAGAAGTCAACCCAGGGTTCGTCAAGGTGCACCGTCCCAACCCCGGGAACTCTGGAGGTAGGGAGGGGAGATGGGCTTTCTTCAGCTCCAGGTCTGGACAGAGGTCAGAGGTGCTGACTCTACCCTTATTTATGTATCTAGGGAATGTGAGTGTGTGGTGGGGACACTTGCTGGTCTTTGCAGAGCTCTGTGCTGTGCTCTGGGCCCAGAAGAATCTCACTGGCATCTGGGGTCTGGGCCAGATGCCACTGAAAACAGAAGGGGCAGACTGACTTCCCTGGTGAAGACAGTCGTGCCTCAAGCTTCATACCCAAGAGCAGTTTGGGCCTGGGGTTTCCTAGTGCTGTCTGCCAACCTGGCCACGTTAGAGCTGGGTCTTGAAGTCTTCTGAGTACCCTGGGCCATCTCTGGCTTCCCACAAGTTCTGCTTTCTTCCCTTATGGACTACCAGGTGCCCTGTTGTCCTTTCCACAGGGCTTTTCCATGGACAGATCTGGGTTACTTGAGACAGGGGACTTGCCCCATTTTCACCACCAGTAACCCTATGGCACAAACCATTCATTCTGTAATCGCTGTGTCAGATTCTGTGTCATGGACCAGAGAGAGGTGATACTATCCCTGGCCTTCAGAGCTCATAATGATGAGTGCCCTCCCAGACAAATCCCCGTGTTTAACTTTGATAATGTTTAATGAAAATGTAATTACTATAATTTAAAAGAACTTCCTTCTATTTTAATGTGAGGGTTTCCCATAGAAACTACTTCAGCTTTGGCAGCTGTGAATGGCAGCTTTATTAATGGAGCCATCTGCAGGCTTTCCTAACAATTGGTTGCACTGCTCATCGCTTCCAGAGCAAACATTGTTTATTGTGTTGGAGGCCCCAGCCAGTCATCCAGAGGGGCAGCCTTCCCTGTGCCCTGATGCAGGGACAGCTAATGTTTTCTCTCATGCTGGGCCTTCACAGACAGGGCCAGGCAGAGCCCATGAGCTCACCAGGATGTCTCCCATGTGGATCAAATGCCCTTGGTAAGCAAGGGCCTTATCCCCTTCTTTCAGACTGTGATCAGGGAGATGGGGCCTGGGGATAGCACAGATGGTGCCTAAGCCCACAGTGAAAAATACCTTTTTTGTTGCAGCCCCTTAGTTCATGTCAGATTCCTCACTTGCCCCCCAGGAAGGCTGACCCGTCATCATGTGAGAAAGGGATAGGGTCTCATGGATGTTCCAGTGTCCTGCGAGGGCCTGAGTCTTAACACATCTTCCAAAAGAGGACACTTGGCTCAGCTCAGAATTAATTCATCTTCTAAATGGAAATGTCAAAGCCTGGCAAACAGTAGGCCACGCAAAAATAGATTCTGCCGATGAAGCCCGAGGGCCTGTCACTCTCATGGGAGAAAGCCTGATCACCTAATCTCAACTCTGCAGCAATTTCACGAGGGCCGTGCTAAAGAGTGGAATTCTTTTCCTTGTCATTTTATAAATTCTGGATAAGGGGAGGTGATTCAGCCCAAGCATCTGAGGAAAGGCAGCAGAGGGTGGCTTCTGGAGGGGTTTCCAAGAAAGGGAGTGATACCAATGACACTGACCAGTCAGAAAGAGGGAGAAGGGTTGATCTCTTACCCCTCCCCCCAAACCCTTCTCTGCCTTCCCACTGTAGTTTGACAGTCTGTTTGATGCTTCTTTGTCTCTTATCTATTTTTGTTCATCAGTTGATGCATGCATATAGGCATAACCAATGGACACAGA